AGGGGAAGCCCCTGAATATATTATGTAGGAACTTTTTCATTGCTTCATTACATAAAAAATACTTACTCATTGGAAAGAGTCACAGAATTTCAAAAAATGTGGCTTAACAGTGCAGCTTTTCAATGGGAATGATGTTCTCGCCTGGCAGCCTGTGGTGTGTTATTACCCATAGTGCAGTGCGTGGGAGGTTACGCTCACCCATGGCTGCAATGGTCACTCTGGAGTGATCTCCGTCTCCTGGTGCACCACCACCTTGGTGACAGACATGTCAGGGTGCTGCTCCTTGGCCTCTTTTATGGCCTGGGCCAGAGCCTATGTGAGGAGGATGAAAGAGGTCAATGTATGGACACTCTCCTTGTACCTACTTCAGCTGGAATCGCAGGTCTCCGAGAGCAGCGTTTTAATTGACAGTCCTCTGTCTGTTCTTAGACAGATCAACGGAGAATCACCACACACAAGTACATTAAAAGAGAACTAGAGAAGCACATTTTCAGATAGTTATTTTAAGATCAATTTGAAAGGCCACAATGAAAGATCAGAATACAGATAAGCATCCAATAGGCTCCCATTCCTTTATGTAGAATAAAACGATGTTAAGGTTGGACATAAGATTTTCACTACCTAAATTACTCAAAACTATAAAACAATGGGTTCTTTTAAATGGGAACCCTCAGCTTTTACTTTATAAACAGTTTCGGAATGTAGATCTATAAACAGTTTCAGAATGAAAGAATTCAGTCAAGAAGCCTGCCGTGTCAGTAATGTAAGTAAAACACACTTGTAGAACGCACAGCACTTTTACAATAATGGGATTTTCCCACGGAACTCTTCAATGGTCTCAGGAAGCTGGAGATTCTTTCCTGTCAGATAAAGCACCTTAACTCAGTGCTCAACCCCTTGTAATCTTAAAAACACAACACACATCACTTCTTGGTTAACAGTTTCAGATTTTGGTTCCAGAGCAACATCACTGTGACATGACGCAGGATATTGCGGCAAGTTTGATAAAAATATTACAAGGTCGAGAGGTATTATCCAACTAGTTCTGCTCTGCTCTGCTCTATTGAACACTGCTGACAAAATGAATTTACAGGCTGGTACTATGTATGCATAGAATATTTCAGAGATTCAGCCTTTCGGTCTGTATACGGTCTTCAAATCATGATCCCCATTTTCTATTTGACCAAAAGATGTGTTGTGATATAAGCTACCAAGTCCTTTGTGGTGTAACACTGAGCTCTAGGACATCGGAGTGCTACATCAATGGACCGGTGAGGTGTACCTGGTCATGATCAATGTCAGCATCTCCAGTGATGACAATTCTCTTCTCAATGCGCGTCTCAGAGATTCCTCCCTTCACCGTCTGGAAGAGGAACAAGGGGAGGAAGAGTCAGAGGGACGCACAACAAGAAGACTTACACCTCCAGGATCATACGTAACGATCCTGCACAGACGCCACCACCCACGCAGGCGGGAGAGGCAGGAACTTAGCGAAGGAGAGACCGTGCAGGCGAGCGACAGAGAGAGAGATAGGGAGTGGGCGTGCCAGTGAGGGAGGAAGGGAACCCCGTGGTCGAGCTCCTGTGGGGCACCGAAGCGCTGACCTTGGTGATCTGAGTGGTCGTGGTGGTGCCGATGGTTTCGGAGGTGATGGTCTGGGCGCTCAGAAGGACGCCGGGGTCTCTGTCTGCCGGACTGCCTTCCAGCTGCAGAAGACAAACACGACACGGCCGTCATGCAAGGCGTTCTGGACGCCGCGGTGAAGAAGCGTGACATGGCCATGCAGAAGGGTGAAGAAGGATGGGCCGCTGACCTGGGCTGCCTCGTAGGTGATGGTCTTGGTCTCGGTGTGGACAATGGGAACTTCCTTGGTGCTGAAGTCGCTCCTGACGGAGTTCGAGACGTCCGAGATGGTGACCGTCTGCGTCTTCACCAGGGGCGGCTGCAGGGGAGGGGGAGAGGGGCAAAGAAAATGAGGAGCTGGTGAGAGAGGGGGACCGCGGACCACTCCGTCTTTCCCTGACTGCTAGGGCCCCCTCTGCGTTCCTCTCTCCTGCTCTCCTCACCCCGTCACATTGCTACGTCTTTATAGGCAACTGAAACTGCTCTTAACAGCGGTAATCTAGACAAATTACTTAAATCACCTTCTACAAAACCTAGCTGGGATAAGAACCAAAGACCCTGTAGCCCCCCCCCCAAGTCCGGGAATGAATATTGGCTATTTCTGACTTATTATAAGAGGGGGAGGCACGAGATCCAGCTTAAGGACACCTGCTCATGCACGGCAACTTGAAAAAGACATTCTCTCAACTTGTCACATCTGAAACCAAAATCCATCATTGGAAAAAGCCACTCCGACTGTATAATTATATATTATATAATTGGACAAAACTCTGCCCTGTTGTTCTGCTGATGGCCCTGTGATCTTCACAGCCTGTCCTATTCATCCTTGGCTCACTCTAAAGTGAGTGTATGAACTGTAGGTTTGCAATAGAGGCATTAAATACTGAGAAAATATGCTGACAATCCTTTAAATAGCTTTAATGCAAGAATATAACAGGTGAAAAACTGGCTCTGCTCAAGTACAGGAAGTGAATTATCAGGAGCAAAACTCATGAATCTGCTCGGCTTAAGCTCTCTGGCAATGATCTGAAGAGCCATCTTGCATGCAAAGTCAATGCGATCAGTTAGAGAAAGAAGAATTTCTGATAAACAACGCTCAAACCAGGAGAAAGAATTGACAGAGCCCATCACCTGATCAGAGACCAACAGACAGGAAGAACGAAAAAGACTTTGTGCCATACGCATGCTCCCAGAATGCTCCAGTGAGAGATTCCCATTTCTTACATAGTGGTACGATTACAGATCCACCGTTCTCATTGGCCACTGACTCAAAACCACTGCAGCAGGCTGGTGCACTCAGATTCAAATCCCATTCCAGACTTTTTAATGTCCGTATAACTACTGGCCCACTTGTAGCATTTCAGATTTTGGAAAAAAAAAAAAGAGACTTGTGTTTTAGATTTATGTTCACGATAACAGGCCAAACAAGTGACGTTAGAGTTGTCGTCACAGGAAAACAATTTCGAGAGGCAAGCATGTGACGCACTCCTCACACTGCATGGCAGCTGTATGCTTAATTCCCAGAGCTCTAGGTTATAAGCACTTCGTAAAACTTGAAAAGAGGTGTGGTATCACCTTCTAATTACGGTGTTAAATCTACTATTACCAAACGATCCACTGCTTTAGAGGCAGGTGTGGTTTTTGATAACTGAAATCAAAGCCTTCTTTTCAAAGTTGGATCAATAACGATGGTGAACTAGAATGACCCAGCAGCCTTTTCATCTGAGACCATAGCTTTACAAGAATCACTTTTAATCAATAAAAGCCACAATAATACTGCGCAGTCTGGGCCTCTGCCGAGGCTGTTAATACTACTTTCCTAGTGCTGGGAGGTAGGCCACCCTTAGTCAGCACTGCAGGATTCATTTAGGGGTGATGACAAAGAAACTGTCCATTTTCATTAATTATAATGTTTCAAGCACATCAGACCATGAAACTGTTTTCTTTGTTGTAAGCGTTGTGTTGCTTTTGCCGAAGTGCAAATGACCCAGCTTGCAAAGCACGAAAAATGCAGAAAAACCCAAATTAAAAGGGAGGCTGTCTGCAGCCCAGAGCTCCATGGCTCCTTTAAGTGTTGGAGAACGGCTCGATGCCAGTGCGGCCTGCTGTGGCACCAGTACACATGCACACACGGCCACAGACCGGTCAGGAAACCTCCCCCAGTACTGCCCGGTCAAAGGTCATGGGACAGCGATCATCTTTCTCCATGCTATGGCAACATAAAGGGTGGTCTTCACACACGAGAACTACAAACTGCTGCGCGATCGAGGAACGAGCTGACCCGATCAGAATGAGAAGCCCAGGAATAAGAGACAATGTTTCAACGTTGCAGACACATTTCAGAAAGAGGACATGGGTGACTTGCTTAACTCGGCAAACCACGTTTAAGCACACCAGAACCTTATCATGAGATGGCCTACTGTATATTCTCCATCACCACCATGTTGTTTTTTTTTTTTACACACAGCATGTAGAATAGTCAAACAGTGCTGTAGATCAGACGGAAACGTGCTTCTATAATGATGAGAATTTTTTTTCCATTTTGGGACAGTTTTTGCATACTAAGGCTACCATCACAGGCAAACCCCTCCACATAAAAACCTTCCTTATTCCTCTGCACACTTAGTATGTGGACACTCTGTTTCCGATATCCTTGCCAGATGGTTGGGGGATCTGGCAAGCTGGACATCTGACACGGGGTGTGAGAGTGCAGAGCTGCAGGGAAGCCTGCTGCAGTGTGTTGAGTGTTTTTCCCTTCACCTTCCCCAATCACACACAAGACAGAGATGGGAAGGACAGTGTGGCCCAGGACTGGAGGAGGCAAATACTACCTGAAAGCAGCGAATGAGGAAAGGACGATTCTCGCATACATAATAGGAGGCAAGGGAAGCTCCTTCAACCTCAAAAGGCTGTGATGCTTCTGCTGCAGGGTCCTCCTCACTTCCACCACACACACAGGGGGTGCCACACTTTCTCAGGTCATGGGGCTCAGTTGATTGGATGGTTTGTGCAGCCTGTTCCTCGGGTATGACTTCTGGCTCCGCCTGCTCAAGGAGCCCTTCCCCACCAAGCTCCTCCTCCTCGTGACATGACTCCACCCCTTCATCGACCGCACAAGAAGCCCTGCCCCCAGAGGAGGAGCTCAGCAGGGCCCCGCCCTCCCGGGTGATGTCTGGGCCATTGTCCTCCCTCAGAGCCACAATGTCTAAAGGCTCATTGTCAGGAATACCACATAAATTCTACAGAGACAAAACACAGGACAAACCCCAAAAGAAAAATATGGTTTGTTTTCTAAAAAAAAAGTCACGTAAGGGCTGATTATAAGGTGTAGGAACGGTTATTATAAAAAAACCCAACAATGTGTCAATATGGAGGTACGCAAATCAATCAGATTCTGTATACACTCAAAAAGGTTGATAATTTTCCCTACTGTCAACTGTTACTTCAAAAACTCATGCACAGGTTTCATAAATAATTACACAATACTCAATACTCAAGACTAAGTCTGTTTTCTTTTTCAGTAACTTCTAAAAAAAGGAATCTACACTAATATCAATGTCAAAATGCCTTATTAGTTTAGTGTCACCCACTGTACTAAATGTTAGAATAATAGCAACTAGGATAACATCTGAAACCCCTGGCTTTTTTTATCAGATTGTGAGGATTGTGAGGGAATCACATTTCATGACAATGGGCACAGGTAATGGGTTCCTCTGTAAATAAATCAGAGTTCACCCATCAGGCAGCTCCTCTCTGAAGCAAGAAGCCCGGGCAACTGTTGTAATTGGTAACTTGGCAAATTCTCGACAGAAAAAAGCAAAACAAAAGTGAAACAAAGGGCAGGAGAAGTTCCAATCAGCTATAATAACGAGCGTGGCAGGCCATCAAGCCAGAACACTTTGCAATCGCAAGAGAAAGGCCACATCAGGACACCTCGGAGAAGGGCCACACATTAGCCACGCCTGTTAACAGGTAGCTCGTCCTTGTGTGCACCCCTCAGCTGCCTGGCTAAGGACGATTCCAGGAGGTGCGAGGTTTTCAACTGAGCTGCAGGATTCATGTGAACTCATCTGGACTGCAGAACACACATACGAAAATCATTCAGGTGGGGAGCTGTGTCAGCATGCATAGGCTGCAAAGGAACAAGTAATAGGTTTTTTCCATGCTGAAAAGAGAAGAAAGAAAACAACTTTTTGGCTTTTTGGAAGACACCCGAAGACGGCTCCACAGCCAAAATGTTGTGCTTTCTTTCTTCTCTCTTCAGCATGGAATAAACCTCTTACTTGTTCCCATACGTAAATCATGTTAACAAATGCATTCATGAATTCATTTTCATAGTTTGGAATCTAAACTATCTGGGACACTCCCGGAGGTTATGCCCCACTACTGTATTTCAACTAGAGTTAGGCTGATTAAAGGTGTGATGCCCAAGGTCTTGGCATCGACAGTCAACCCAGTGGACTTCTTCAGTCCAGCCCCCAACCTTTCAAACAGTCCCTAAAATGCAGACCCTTTTCTGGAAAAAGACTTAAAATAGTGTCTTTTTCTTCTCAGCATTATCAATCAAACACGAATAAGAGGGTTAAAGTGTGAAGAACGTGGAAGGGCATTTAAAACCGAGAATAGCAGGCACTCCTTTACTCGAACGATGTCGGAACGCAGAAGCAAGCTCTCCAGCCATGTCGTTGAAGAGGAAATCCTTGCATCAGTTAGCGACTATTGGCCCCATGGGCTAGACAAGCTGAATAACCTCCTCTCGTTTGTAACTTATGATGACATCTGTCAAATCCCTTTCTGCCAACTCCATTTCCACATCTACTAGCCAAGCGACAAGTTTTCCCTTTACTTTCATGGCTTCAGCCTTTTTTTTTTAAACGTCTACAGCGGAGCACGTTTACAGTAGTTATACATGATTATGGAATTTAAGGGTTAACACACCTAACTCTTATTGAAATGTCATGGGAACAAATAAGAGCACAATGTCGAGTACCCAGGGTGACGAGCAGGAGACCTGCAAAACTAGTTGGGGTATGAATACAGGCCTGCAACTGGCTTGTAGCTCAAGCAGAAAACAATATCTGTTCCTCAGTCTAGCATATACATTGGGAATCACTATTTTATTCAGCTACTGTATGCAACTATCAATTCTCCACCCTGTAACATTAGAATACATCTGGCTTCTCTGCATGTGGGTACTAAATGAGTATTTAGCGATCATGTAAAAAACAACACACACACAGGCAACCCAGACAGGAACATAGGGAGAACATGCAAACTCCACACAGACAGGTGGAGGTCACAGCTCCAGAAATTAATCCTGGGCCCCAGTGCTGTGACTGTACCACCGAGCCGCCCAGCATACAAATCATTGATACAAAACAAACTTGAAGCACGTTAAAAATATCAGCGCTACACATAGATTTATTTTCCACAATTTATCAGTGTCTGTATACAGCTTCCTGCAGTAAACAGTATGCGATGGTCTCTTACAACAGGTGGCGTGGTACAGTACTAGGAGGCAGTTTTCTGTACATGCACTTTGCTTTTCAAGTTACACACGAGTGAACTGCTGTCACAGTCTGTCAGTGTATGAGGGAAGCACGAGCCCACATATGCGCCAGAGAAATGGAAGAGCTCCTTAATCCTGCTGAAAAGGACTGGATTTCAGAGGACAAAACTCTGTGGTGAGCGCCTGACGAACTGCGCTCATCTAGGTAAGGCTGCCATTTGCCAGCAACAAAGCCACAGCTCTGACAGGCTGCTGCGAACAGGTCGTTTTTGAAAGTCCATACATTCGCACTGATTCACTGAAGTGCACCTCGCAGTGGTCAAAGGCAAACGTGAATTGTTAAAATTACCGGCCAGCTGCACAACAGTATAACGGTTTCATCAGATACACTTGGAATGATCTGATGTAATGAAAGCACAATGAACAACCTGGTGTTTCAGGCTCAAAGACCTGGCCACTCCTCTGCTAAACTAATGACAATCCTTTGTAACCTGTAAGGAAAAGGCTTTTGATCTGTCTTCTCAAACCAGTCCCTGAAATGCTGAGGTTTACCAGAAAAAGAGATTTCAAATAGTTTCTTTTGCTTCACTCAAGGCCACAGGCCTTTAAAAAGCCGGCACATTTTGACTAACTTCCCCCTCTCACCTCATATGTGCAGAGAGAGAGAGATTCTTCTTTTAATGTGCCAATCTGCAGGACAGTTCCAGAGGAGACATTTGCACAGGCCTCCCCACCTTGGATGGAGCAGATTTGATTAATAGAACCTATGAAAGTGAAATGGGAATAATAACTGCTGTAGAGAACTGCAGAGTGGAAAACGTTCTGCTCCTGTTCTGGAACAGGATGCAGATTAAGGCTATAACACTGATGATGATGATGATGATGATGATGATGATGATGATGATGATGATGATGATAACAACGATGCAGCCACTGCTGCAGAAACCTATGTGAAGAGTGGGAGCTCTTGGGAAAATGGGACCCCTGTGCTGTACTAGTGCATGATCATGAGTGGGAGTAGGCACCCCCCTAGTTTTTCAGTCTACAAAGCCCCCCTAAGCATCTCCAAATGTTTCTCATCAGACCGGAAGGTTGTGGTCAAACACTGATAACTTGCACCATGAGTTTTAATGAGGGAATTAACAAATTAATTAACCACCTTAAATCAATTAAGGTCACTACTGCCCCCCAGCACCACTCAGCTCCAGCTGAACTGCTCTGGCCTGAGTGCAGTTTTAAGCCCCTCTACTGATATGGCAAAACAGCTGTCACCTTAGCCAGACTCCCACAGGGAAGATGCAGCAACAACTGGGTCCCACTTATTTCACTTAATCTATCAAGTATCCTATCAGCCCCCTGACACTTTTCCACCACGACACCTCCCACCCCCTCAGCAACACTCATCATTGCTGAGGGGGGAAAACTGAGTAAGGGGACCCCCGAAAGCTGCTGCTCTATTCTGCTGCTCTAGTCCCAGTGTCTGGCGCTCATGAATGAACACATACTCCCTTGTGCTCATACGGTGAAACCCAACTACAACCCAGGAACCAGGGCTCTTGCATTCCTGGCCGACTCCAACATGGAAAAGCCAGCAGTTCACTCAGACTTCTATCTAGGAAAGTGGCGGAGAAGCCGCCCTTGATCTGACAGCTCTTTGCAGTGCTGCCTGTCACAACTGTGGGAGTCTCCAAGGGGCTCTGATTGTAACAAAATGGCAGCGGCCTCTCCCGTGTACCACACGCAAGCTGAAACAAAAAAATGCCCTGGCCCACACCTGGCTTTTTAAACATAACCCAGGTTTTGACTGGCAACGCACCACCATTTCCAACAATACTGATCCGCCAATGCCCACAGCCTTCAGTCTGATGTGTGTGATAAAGCAGCACCACACTCCTATCCCACGAGCCCGAAATGGAAAAATCAGCTTCTTAACACCACAAATAACAAAATCAAACATTTCCTCCCCCAGCGTGGAGACCAGATTCTCCCGGAAAGAAAACGACACAGTCAAGGTATAAAAGGGCATGTACATTTTTCTGAACAGTTCCCAAAAGCAGTTATGTTATGATTCTGTTTTTTGGTTCTGGGTGTTTTCTACCATTCTCCAGGACCGAAAAAAATCAGCGCAGGGCCCAATGCACTTGATGAACATTGCCCTCAGACTCCGCGGCAACATTTGCTGTGCAATGGAAAAAAAAGACACTAAATAGGAAAAGCACTGGACTGAGAATTTAAGGCCCCTGGGCAGAAGGCGACAGCTGAAAGTCATTAACATTTTGTTCATATCCACAAACATAAAAACAAAGCAACAAATTGCAAGTCTTTAATGAGTTGAAAACCTTGTTTTCGGCCTGGTTTGAAGCCGGGTGGAAAGAGCTTTTGTCGACAGTACTCAAGATTAAATCTGGGACAGGTTCCCAGCAGAACTCAACCCCCAATTGTTTTTGTTTTTCCCTCTTTTGTCAACCAGTCGACAGAAACGTTCCGAGGCGAAACGCCGCTTAATCTTGGCGAAAGGCAGACAGGCGGGAGGGTGGGGCTAAGAGAGGAGACAGGAAGTGAAGGTCCATTTCCGCAGCAGAGCGCAGATGGAGGAGAAGGAGACGTGGAAGAAACACAGAGAGATCACACGAACACACACGCGCGTTCGCTCACTCAGCGGCTCCTCGTCTCCGAGGGAGGCTTTGGTCAGGCAGGCTGGCTGGAAGATTCAGAATGAACCCAGTCTGC